TAGGGCAGTGTAGAGGGGGAGGAGAACCTCACTCGACCTGCTGGCCACACTCCTCCTAATGCATCCCAGAATGCCATTGGCCTTCTTGGCAGCCAGGGCACACTGCTGGCTCATGGTTAACCTGTCGTCCACCAGGACACCCAGGTCCCTCTCCACAGAGCTGCTCTCCAGCAGGTCCACCCCAAGCCTGTACTGATGCATGGGGGTGTTCCTCCCCAGGTGCAGGACCCTGCATTTGCCTTTGTTGAACCTCATCAGGTTCCTCTCTGCCCAACTTTCCAGCCTATCCAGGTGACGCTGAATGGCAGCACAGCCTTCTGGTGTGTCTAACACACCTCCCAGTTTGGTGTCATCAGCAAACTTGCTGATTACGGTAGAGCATACAGACTAGCAGCTATTTTTGCATTCTATTTAGTGCACAGTAATTTAAAAATATTTTGGAATTCTGATAACTTCCTAGAGTTTGATAATTAAATGAGTCAAAAGTTGCCACTTGAAGAATAGTAACAAGTCCTATCCCAAAACGTGTCTACATAAGTCAGCATTTTTTAAATACTTACATAGTTTTGAATGTTATTGTTTGCTCTGCAGTTATAATACTCCAGACGCAACTCTTCTGGCGAGAAATCTGAAAAGCCTGTAAGGAGAGGAATAATCAAAAACCTCCAAGAAAATCACAGAATGGTAGGGGTTGGAAGGGACCTCTGTGAATCATCTATCCCAATCCCCCCTGCCAAAGCAGGGTCACCTAGAGCAGGCTGCACAGGACCTCATATAGGCAGGGTTTGAATATCTCCAGGGAAGTAGACTCCACAATCCCTCTGGGCAGCCTGTTCCAGTGCTCCATCACCCTCAGAGGGAAGAACTTCTTCCTCATGTTCAGACGGAACTTCCTGTGCTTCAGTTTGTGCCCGTTGCCCCTTGTCCTGTCACTGGGCACCACTGAAAACAGTCTGGCCTAATCCTCCTGACACCAAACCTTAAGATATATATAAGGATTTATTAGGTCCCCTCTCAGCCTTCTCTTCAGGCTGAACAAGCCCAGCTCCCTCAGACTCTCCTCGTAGGAGAGGTGCTCCAGTCCCCTCATCATCCTCATAGCCCTCCACCGGGCTCTCTCCAGTAGCTCCTCAACTTTCTTGAACTGGGGAGCCCAGAACTGGACACAGTACTCCAGACGGGGCTTCACTAGGGCAGAGGAGAGGGGCAGGAAAACCTCCCTCGACCTGCTGGCCACACTCCTCTTAATGCACCCCAGGACACCATTGGCCTTCTTGGCAGCCAGAGCACGCTGCTGGCTCATGGTTAACCTGTCATCCACCAGCAGTCCAATGTCCCTCTCCGCAGAGCTGCTCTCCAGCAGGTCAGCCCTGAACCTGTCCTGGTGCATGGGGTTGTTCCTCCCCAGGTGCAGGACCCTGCACTGCCCTTGCTGAACTTCTTCAGGTTCCTCTCGCCCAACTTCCAATTTCCCTCTCTAGTTATGAAAAAATGGGCCTTGGTACATTAGCTGTAGTAAGTCAGTCATAGCTGAAGACACACAAATAATTCACTACAGAACTTCAAAGATGTGAATGTCCAAAATGAATTTGTCGTAATCCAATATTAATTTCTGTTGCATCACAATACAAAGCATCATCCTGCAAATGATTCCGCAGAGGCACAACAGTGTGGACAAGTGTAAGAGACATCCTAAGTAGCAGCAATATGCAGCAACATTACCTACCTAAAAAACATTACCTACCCGAGACATTCGGCTTTTCTTTCATTGGCGAGTAAGATGAAAATATCCATTGTCCTGAAGATTCCCAAATTTCCATGTCTTTCACTACACATTCACTAGAAAACAAAACCATACCAAGCCACAGATGAAGATGAAGCAATTGCCTAGTTTGAATCCAAAGTCAGATTCAAATACCTGCTAACATGATAATTAATGAAGTGTGACACTAGTCAGAATGAACAAGAGAAGCACTCAGTTCGCTGTGGAAAAATCCACTTATTCAGCAAGATGCATAAATGACCCTTCAAAGCATTTTATTTTCTCATCTAACTGCAAGTAAATCAAACCAGATCTTTAAAAAAAAAAAAAAAAAATACCAAAATATACAAAGTAATTTTTAATCCTTGTGTGGCATACACTGTCACATGATTTTCCCTGAAGCTGTAGATGACAATACAATTTAAACCTTCTCAATGCTAGACGATTTTACAATATAAATGAACACGCACAGTATTAAATAGCAAATGTTTTTGGGGAAAAAAAAAAAAAGAAAACAGAGAGAAAAGAAGAGATAAGTGTTCCACATAAATTTTTTGAAAAGGATCAAAAGCATAAAAATCCAGACATTTCAAAAGCAGAGAAATAGAAGCTACATCAACTAAAGTAAACCCAAATGTAAACAAACAGTGAAAGTGTAAAAACTAAAGTGGACAAGCACATCACTACATAGTAACAACCAAACAAATATTTCAGATGTTTGTAACACAATATACATTCATGTTCAAGAATCTGAATAGTCTGTTAAGCATTTTCTTAATGTAATCTCAAAAGAAAAAATGGAAAGTGGTTCGAAAACCTTGCTTCTTCAGGAAATCACACTGCCTGTTCCTTCTCATCACCTGCCCTGTCATTGCCTTGACCCTGCTGGTCACTCTCAAGTGACTATAGCACACACATGGGTGAAAACAGGTTTCGATAGTTTTGCTATTGGCACTTGTTAGCTTAAGTGTCAGGAAAACTAAGTCAAATAGTTCATTTTTTCAAAGAGTTTGGTTTTTTTTTTAACAGTTGAAATGCTGTTCATAGGGCTCTGACCCCTTATTTTCAAGTATTGAATTCTTTGTTTTCTTCATTATCCTCCTGCCCGCAACTTGAAATACCATACTATCTTCCTAATGTCACAGTTGTCTGACTGCCCAACCCAGGTTCAAAACAAGGATCGCTTTCTTCCCATGCCAGCATAACTCAAGAGAACCAGATGAAGTGGTTTTTTCTATAGTTCTTACTGCACGTTCCAGCTTCCTTGTCATGATCATGTCCTCTGCATTACCTCTAGTAAGTCAGTAAGCTTTTAAAGTGCTCATTCCAAATGCTTTCAGTGAGACAGGGCTATGACTTACAGAAGTCTCTCCTCTTCATCTTTATAGCCTTCAGAAATATTTTGACTGTTCATTAACGCAGAGAATCTGTTCTGCGAAAAGTCTGCATTTCTGCTGCCGCTGCCTGATGATCCAAAATCAGAGGAGCCAAAAAATCCTCTTCCGTGATCTCTGCTGCCACCCCACGTATTAGACTTAAAGGTAGATGGCTGGATAACATTAGTGTATCTCTGGTTAGCGGTACTCCATCCTCCTCCTCCTCCTCCTCTGCTAGTAACTTCCAATGAAAAAAAAAAAAACCCAACAAAAGTTTTAATTTCTTAAGATAACAACACCAACATCAACAAAAACTGTATGCATATTCTTACGGTGACAATAAGTTTGAAATGAAAATATAGGTTTTTCCTAACGAGTTAACCTGATTGTTTGGTGAGCTGAACATAGTGAGTTACCCAGGGTAGTTCTGGAGTCAGTTAACCGTGAATGTCTCATGTCACCACGCCGGCAACTCCTGGAACTGCAGAAGAGAGACCACTGCAGTTTTGCTTACATTACTTCACAAAGTCACTATCCCAGCACAAAAACAACAAAACACTCCGTTCAACTCGCAGTACATTTGTATCCGGGACCCCGGCTCACG